CGCCTCCCTCCCTGCCTGCCTGCCTGCTGCCGGGTTCCCGGGGCGCCTCGCTGGGGGCTGGACGCGCCGCAAGGGGGACAGCCGGGGCTCCATTCACGGGAGAGGGGGAGGAGGAGCCGGAGCCGCCGCGGGGCCCCGCAAGGCAAGAAGGACGAACGCGGAGTCCGGGGGCGGCCCCTGCCCGGAGAGCCCCCCCCGTCCCTCCCGGGCGCCTGGGCTCGGAGCCCCTCCTCGGGCGGCGTCTCTCCAGGGGGAGAGAGGGGGAGACAGGCGCCCCGAGTCCATTAGCGCCTTCCAGACGAGGAGCACGAGACGGGGCCCCCGAAAGCCCCTCCCCTCCCCGGCCACGCGCCCCGTCCGTCCCTCGGGGGCTCCTGGGCGCCGGGGGCGCTTCCCGGCCCTTGTCCAGCGGGAGTCCTTCCCAGGCAAGCGCTCTTCCAACCGCAGCCGAACAGTCCCAACCTGTTGGCCAGAATCCCATCAGTTGGCCTGATCCCGCTCGCCGGCCCCCTGTCTTGTCAACCTCCTGGCAGGGCCTGGAGATCTCCTGCTAGTAAAACTCAGTGCCAGAAGACAGCGGGCTGCTCTGCAGGGTGAACTCTCTGCCCCCCCCTCCCCTCCCCAGGTTCTGCCCCTCCAATCTCAAGGCCTTCCCATCCAGAGCTGGCAGCCCTATCACCCCCAGCCCATGCGGATTTAGGCCCGGCAGCCTCCATAGTCCCCCTGCATCCTTTCTTCCTTGGGCCAAAAGAAAAACGGATAGGTTATTAATTAACTAGGTTGATAAATATTTACTACCATATTTATTGTATTAAATATTTTGTATTGCAACACATACAACACATTTTATATGTGTTGCAGTGCCAAATCAGTCGGGGTTTCTGGGTAGACTAGTACTACAGCATAGTTTCCCCCAGCACCACTGGTGTTCTCAGCAACACCACCACATACAAGTTTTATTTATTTATTTACAACATTGATATCTCACATGTTGTATCCTGAGATAATTACATCAGCGCTAGCGAGGCCATGCAGTCTAGCACACCTTCGGGTGCTAGAACTGTTAGATACGAGACTCGAGGCAGCAGGTGAACAGTGATAACAGCTTTATTGAACAGAAGTCAGAAGAACCAGAACCAGACAAACAACTGAGCAACAGGCTCCTTTTTAAACAGC